GATTTGTATGTTAACATTGTACCTGTTTGACAAATAAAATATTATATGCAATACAAAAAAATATATTGAAGTTAAATATACATGAAATTAATTACCTAATAACAGTGTCAACCACGTCATTACAATGCATAAACACTGTTTTTGAAAAATGACCTTCACATAGTTGTCCACAATTTTTGCATAGCTCGTAGAACATATTTTCTATGTTAATACTCTGAATGTAAGCAAGTATTCGAAAATATTTAACCTAATAAGAATGAAAGAAGATATAGGTTATAATTATAAATTAAAAAAATTCATTCAGTAATTAATTAAAATTGAGTAAGCTTACCGTAGACATGATTGTATATTCAGATATCCATATTCTCTTTGAATTTGCTATCAACAATGCTTGTGGTGTTGTAAAATTGCTTGATGTCAGTCACATAATTAACTTGCGGGCACATGTATTATTTTCAAACCTGCAATTTTTTTGAAATACATGTCAATAAGAGTACGAAACAATATTAATAGTTTGATATAGTGTTACTGAGGAACTCACCAACTGCATAGGTATCGAGTAAAATATAAATTGTGATTTAGCTAGCTCCAATTGTACATAGTGATGGTCCTGCATAGTACGGTTATATTTGCTCAAAAGCTATTCAAAATATATAGAATATAACTAAAAGCAATTGATTTACCTCTGAAATTTCGTACGCATATACCACATATTAGTAAAATATTATTTTTTGTAACAGACTGATATAACCGTTCACCATCATCATTAGCAAATTTATCCCACAATATGAATCGAGTTACTGTCAAACTGTGTTAACAAAATTTTGATAAGTGCAAACGTGAGGGGAAACGTGGGATGATGATTAGAGGATTTGTAGGAGTGGTTGTAGGATGAGTTAAGAGATAGTTGGAGTGGACTCTTAATTGGAGTGGGAAACGTGGAAGGAAATGTAGGGGGAAACGTGGAATGATGATTAGAGAATTTGTAGGAGTGGTTGTAGGATGAGTTAAGAGATAGTGGGAATATTTTAAATTAAATTTGATTGGTAATAAGGTGTGTTATAACCCACTACTTTTTATGTATTAAAATAAATACAAAAATCTAGAAAAAAGAATGAGAAATTTAGAAGCTATTGAGAGGGTTTCTGCTAAAAACCCCTTCTTGAATACATATAGACTAGTGAGAATACCCGTGCTACGCACGATACTAACATTATTAAAAAAATAAAAATAAAAAGGTGAGCAAATAATGGTGAAAAAATTGTAGCAACAAAATTAAAATGTAATATCTGTTTAACAATAGCTTGAAATATGATAAAATGTGTATATCATTCAAGAACCGTCTTTTTCCAAAAAAATGTACGAAATTAGTGTATTTTTTTACATAGTTTATGAATAGTACTGTGAAAAATAAATATATGTTAAGAAATTCTACTTTCCTTTGTAATTTTCTGAGATAAAAAGCATCACAACCAAATACGAATTGTGCATATCTGTCTTGTAGATTAAAATGCATGTTACCACTGGAATCTCTGATTTGTATGTTAACATTGTATCTGTTTGACTAATAAAATATTATATATAATACAGAAAAATATATTGAAATTAAATATACATGAAATTAATTACCTAATAACAGTGTCAACCACGTCATTACAATGCATACACACTGTCTTTAAAAAATGACCTTCACATAGTTGTCTACAATTTTTGCGTAACTCGTACAACATATTTTCTATGTTCATGCTCTGAATGTAAGCAAGTATTCAAAAATATTTAATCTAATAAGAATGAAAGAAGATATAGGTTATGATTATAAATTAAAAAAATTCGTTCGGTAATTAATTAAAATTGAGTAACCTTACCGTGGGCATGATTGTATATTCATATATCCATATTCTCTTTGAATTTGCTAACAACAGTGCTTGTGGTGTTGTAAAATTGTTTGATCTCAGTCACATAACTAACTTGCGGGCACATGTATTATTTTCAAACATGCAATTTTTTGAAATACATGTAAATAAGAGTAAGAAAAAATATTAATAGTTTGGTATAGTGTTACTGAGGAACTCACCAACTGCGCAGGTATCGAGTAAAATCTAAATTGTGATTAATATATAATTTGCTAACTCCAATTGTACACAATGATGGTCCTGCATAGTATAGTTATGTTCGCTCAAAAGTTATTCAAATAATATAAAATATAACTAAAAGCAATTGATTTACCTCTGAAATTTCGTACGCAAATACCACATGCTATTAAAATATTATTTTTTGTAGCAGACTGATATAACCGTTCACCATCATCATTAGCAAATTTTCCCACAATATGAATCGAACTATTGTCAAACTGTGTTAACAAAATTTTGATAAGTGCAAATCTAAATTCTCTAAAAATAAAAAGTTTTAAAGATGTCGAGATTTGTTAACTAACCTTTTGTCAACCAATAGTATCTGCCGACCAATTTTGTTATTAGTAGATATATGATAGTATGGACCAACAGATATAATTAAACCAATTACATCTGTAATAAATAAAAAATTTTAATTAATAGCAATTGATTTGCAGAAATATAATAAAAATGATATTAATTGTGGGGACGTATCTATCAATTGTAGATCGTTATCCATGTACTATTCTATATGTCTCAATTTAACCAAATTGAACTTGAAACGGGAGATGGTTGCACAATCATCTAAAATTTTCACTATTTTTGTATCATTCTCAAATGACAACTGGAACTGATATGGTGCAATCCGGTACTTGGCATCTGCTAGGATTACATGTATATTTTGAAACAAAATTGGTGAGACATACATATAGACATAGATTGGAGTGGGAAACGTGGGAGGAAATGTAGGGGGAAGCGTGGGATGATGAGTAGAGGATTTGTAGGAGCGGTTGTAAGATGAGGTAAAAGATAGTGGAAAAGTTTTAAATTTTAAATTTTAAATTGGATTGGTGATAGGGTTAGTTATAACCCACTACTTTTTATGTATTAAAATAAATGCAAAAATCTAAAAAAAAGAATGAAAAGTTTAGAAGCCATTAAAAGACTCTCTGCTAAAAACCCCTTCTTCAATATATATAGATATAGATATAGATTTTCATCAATTGATTTGGATTGGATAGATTCGACTTGTAAGGCTCCTGATTCGATGGTCTTTGCAGTTAGACTAAAAATGGATTTAGGCAATTTTACAAATTTTATATTTTCTTAACCTCTATTTGTGCGTTAGATACTCTATTAATTATCGCCATTGGGTGACGTTCTTTAAATGCAACAAATTTGAGAAACACTTTGAATAATTTCCTTTTTGTTTCATTAAACAAAAAAAATTACTGTAAAATTTTCTTTAAACGAATACTAAGACCACCTTTTCTTTAAGAAAACTAACACTTTAGCCAATGCTTTAGCATATTAATTTTTTTTTATTTTTAGTGAACTTGTGCAAGCATAAATAATTCAAGAATAAATATCAACATATTTTTTAAGTATACATTAATATTAACTTTTAGAAAATTAATATATTTTAAATGTTCAAATACCGTACCAATTTTTGAATACTTATATACATATTTTTGGTATAACTAAGATACAACGAATATTGCAATGCATACAAAAAAAGTTGATAGACATTCTTTGAAATGCTTAGTAATTTGTTAAAATAATCATATACGTAGAACTACATATTTGTATTAAATTAAATACAAAAGACGCAGCAATCCATTTTTTCAAGAATGAATATTTAGTTCTGAATATTACTAAACATATAGCTGCAACATTTGTAGTCGGACTAATTAAAATTACTCGATCTATATGGATAAAAACAATTTAGAAGTTATTCAAAAAAACAAAATGTTGTTAGAAGAATGAGGATCCATAAATAACATAATTTAAATTGATGAGAAAAGATAACAATTGTTAGAAGAAAAAGAGAATATAATTGTTCACTAGAAAAGTTGGATAATAACGGATAAACCAGATAATTGGTAATTCTCTTCATTTGGGCATGTAACTTAGGAGGGAGAAAATTAGTTAAATATATTTAATACTATGATAAATATATATATTTCTCCATAACTACCATCCAAATTAACGAATATCTAAGAGTTTTCCCAGAGCGATCTAACTATGCAAATTATTTAAGAAAACTAGAAAGAAAATAAAGTGTATTAAGGCATATTGCTATACTCTGCATTTAATTTGAATAAAGACCGAAGTGGGGCATGCACCAAAATATTTCACATTTAAATTCATCAATACTGCCCCATTATGGTGACTTAGCACGGAATGATAAATCCTGTGTGTAACTTAAAAACTAACCCCTTGTTTGGTATATGGGAATGGTACTTGAAATACCTTTTCACCGAGAATGGTAGGGAGAAAAATTTATTACCTTTTCACCCAGAATCGTTAATTCTTTGAAATTGTTAATTGCACTTTACCATTTTCAAGTACACAAGTTGCCTATCCACCGGAGAATATGTCGCCGGCCGCCTCCATGTGCAGATATGCTCAAAGAAGAAAAATTATTTATAACCAATTGACCATACGGAAATAATAATAAAAAAAAGAATTGGATACATATTCAATCCAAACCACCCTGCTTGGGGCTATATTTAATTATTTACAATGCAATGTGAACAAATATTGTGGCGAGTATTCCTTTTTTTTTTTTTTTTTCCCTTTTCCCGCCCTTTCAAGAAACGAAGACAATGAGAATGGGGGATGGTTGTTGACCATTGACTGATTAAGGGGACACGGCATACCCAGTGGCAAGAGAAGAGCTCTTAAAAATAAATTCTACTGTACTAAAATTTGATCCCACTTACTCTGGGGTGGTAGCTCCGCCCTGGTGGAAGGAGGGCATATATCATCCGTTCTCCTATATAAAGACGCAAAAAGATTGTCGGACGAGAAAAATATAAGCAACTAAATTCACGACAGCAGTATTTCCATTCCCGCAGTTGGCACGGACTGTTCTGTTTCCTAAAGATGACCAGCCTGGTTAACATCCTCTCGGCTACCAGGGAAAGGCTTCTATATCTGATGTATGAAAGGGGGTCACCTTTTGGGGTAGACATGTTGGATTTGTCTCCTTTTTGCGATGGACTGCGGGATCTCGTTGATGCATTGAAGCTTGTACAATCCCATACACAAACAGAACGACAATCTGAGAGGATTTTACAAGTTAAAAGAAGGATCAGAAGTCTGCTGTTTACAACTGAGAACGAGGTGGAATTTTATGGCCTCCAACATGAATCTGGAGGATCTGCACGTGGTCGTGGCGATCAGAGTACAGCATCTGGATACATGGGCGGAGAAAAGTTGGAAAACATCCATAGCCAGCTCATGGACGCTGTTGTCGACTACGGCAGAGAACAAGCTCCGGATCTCGGTATGGGCTATGATAAAATAAAAAGTATAAAAGTTTCTCGCATCCCAGAAAAGGCCCAACGGCTGGTTTCTCGAGCTAATTACTCCAACGACTCGGAACATACTGTTGGATTGGAGGATGCCATAAGTCGACTGGCAGAAGTTTCAGTCCCTGGAGACACTGATGCCAAAGTTGTGATTGCTTCCATTTGCGGCGCGGGTGGAATCGGCAAAACAACCCTTGCAAACAAAGTGTACAACCAGCATCAGATTCGGGGTCATTTTGAGTGTTTCGCCTGGGTCTACGTCGGTATCAACTGGACGATTAGAGATATATTGGTCAATATACTCGACCAGTTGCTTTCCTCGCGACTGACGAAGAAGAACAAAGAGTTGATGATGATGTCGACGGTGGACGTTGAGGACGTGGAGTTGGTTCAACAGGTACACGACGTTCTACAAGAAAATGTTTGCCTAATTGTGCTGGACAATTGTTGTACCTATGAATTCTGGGATAGCCTGCGCATGGCCTTGCCAACTGGGGAGGAGAATGCTAGCAGATTCATCCTGACCACTCGGCAGAGGGATTTAGCTGTTCGTGTTGGTGCGGGATTCATCTGGGATATGCAAAATCTCGATCCCGAACGAAGCTGGGAATTATTGTCCTATTGGCGGGACTTAGCGTTAAAGGACGGTCAGTCTCTCTTTAACCTTTTCTTTTTTTTTTTTTTGGGATAATTAACTGATTACTACTACTATTCGTAAAAATCTTTCCGGATTAATTGCACTAAGGCCCCCCTTAACTTATTTTTTAATCACTTTGCCTCATATTCAAAGGTAAAGGTTTGGTGAAATGAATTGAATACCCTCAATTTAACAATTGTAGTTATACTCCTATCAACTATGACTCTACTTGCACTTTACCCTCTAAAAATTTTCTACTCAATTGACTTCCTAATTCATGTTTAAGAATGAAATTATCCTTGATATTTTACTTATTTTTTATTTTTCTTTATAACATCTTTTTTTTAAACCGTTATGTATTGTATTGACACTAGTAAGCAATTTATGATTGTTAGTAATTGATTAATCACAAACTTTAACTTTTATATATGTGTCTTAATAATTTAAACTTTTTGAATTAAATATGCTTCGTAACAAGAACAACATATATTTTGAGGGGCTACAAGGTGTAGTTTTCTCAAATTTTTCTTGCTCATTCTTTCATCCTGCCAAAATTTGCCTACTAATTCGTTAGTTTTCATCACCAATTATTAACCACATACTCCAACATAAAGTTTCTTGGAGGTTGTAGTTAGTTTGTTACTTATATCACAAACAATATATAATCTAGAAACTAAAAATGTTTGGATATAAATATAAAACTTATAGCTTGTGCTCAATCAATTATCAATATTGATGTAGTAACAAAGAAGTGAGAAGAGGGAATGGAAAAAAAATAAAAATAAAGGAAAAATAAGAGAGGAAATGAAAGAGAAGATAAAGAGGAAAAAACAAAAGTTGAAATAATTAATATATATATATATATAGCATGGTAAATCCAATATAAAATTCTTTAGGGGCTAATTGGCAACTAGAGTTGTAATTTTTGAGCAGCAAATTGCAAATTAAACTTATATTATGATTGAAAATGAGGAAAATTTTGGAAATTCCAATGTTATTTACTGTCAAATATGATTTTGACTAATAGATGGGAACTGTTGTAGTTTACATATTCCTGTTGGGTAGATTTTTAGAGAAGACAAAACCTATATTAATTTTATGTTCTAATCTTATGTTTGGTTAATTGGCTTCATTACAGATCAGCAGGAACTAGGAGAGCAAGGCCCAGAACTGGAACAAAATATACGGAGAATCCCACCAGAAGATGGTTCAGATCAGCAGGAACTAGGGGAGCAAGGCCCAGAACTGGAACAAAATATACGGAGAATCCCACCAGAAGATGGTTCAGATCAGCAGGAACTAGGAGAGCAAGGCCGAGAACTGGAACAAAATATACGGAGCTTAATCTCATCATGCAGGGGCTTACCATTGGCTATAATTTTAGTCGCCAGTATGTTGAGAAGCAGGACAATTGATTTGCAATCTGTGAAAGTCACCCTTGGCATAATAAATTCTTCTGGAAGAGGTCCCGAATCTTTAAGTTACTACAGTTTGCCACTTGGTATAAGCGAGAGTTTTCTTTATTTGGGAAACTTCCCAAACAATTCAGGGATTCAGGTAGACAAATTGTGCCAGCTTTGGATTGCCGAAGGTCTGATATCAACTAAGTACAGGGAACGCGGAGAAACAATGATGGACGTTGCAGTGCGATATTTTGGTGAACTGGTGGTAAGGAGCCTGGTAATTCTGCATGAAGATGAAGTCTCAGATGTAAAACTCATGTCCTGCCACGTTCATGATCTAATAAGAGATTTCAGCATATCACTTGGAGAAGAGGAGGAATTTTATGAGGTCATGGAATCTTCCATTAATCATCCACGAATGAGGTCATCTGCACAAAGGTGTGCTATATATTTAAATAGATATGACAACTTAGCTGATGTTTGCCCCTCTGCTAACCTTCGGTCTCTTTTAATCCTCAACTCTGACGAATCAGGGCAAGAACATACATGGCGACAGGAATTTTTCAATTTCAGTAATCATAGATGGCTAAGAGTTCTGGATTTTGATAAAGTATGTTTTCAGGATGGAAAGCTACCAGACGGAGTGAGCGAGTTATTCTTCTTGAGATACTTGAGTTTTCGAGGAAGTTACCTGGAGGATTTGCCATCATTTGTTGGTGAATTTTTATACCTGGAAACCCTCGACCTGAGGGTTCGGAATGATTGTACATTGACAATTTCAAATGTCATCTGGAAGCTCAAACGACTAAGACATCTATACTTCCCTCTGGCATTTCAAACTCCTGATCATTGTGGTATGTTAAAACTGGATGGCTTGAATGAACTGGAGACACTTGAAGGTTTAGATACAAATGTTTGCAGTGCTGAGGACCTCATAAAGCTGACCAACCTTCGGAGTCTAGCAGCAACTGTGGAAGGGAAGCTGAAGGACTTGGTGCAGATAATCAACTGCATAAACAATAACTCGAGCCACTTGAGAAGGACATTGCTTGACATAAAAAATTTTGACTGTTACTCTGAAGAGCGGGTGTCATTCATTCCAAGTTTGTTCAGCTGTGGTGTACTTAAATCTTTGAGAATGGAAGGGCATATGGGAAAAGTACCAGAGGTTAGTACAATCTCTTCCAGCTTTACCGAGATTGTGTTAAGCGGTTCTGAGTTTGAACGAGATCCAATGGAAACACTGGGGAAGCTTCCCAACCTAAGGATCCTGGTCTTAGAAATTGAGGCATTCGTGGGAAAGAATATGAATTGTTCTGCCACAGGTTTTCCTGAGCTCAGGTGTTTAAAACTCTCCAAATTGTACAGTTTAGAAGCATGGGAGGTTGCCGAAGGAGCAATGTGTAAGCTTTTTACTTTGGAAATTTCCAAGTGCAGGAGAATGAAAATGCTTCCCGAGGGGCTAAAGTATATCAGTTCTCTCAGAAAGCTGACCATTAGCATGATGCCAGAACAATTTGTAGGCAGGCTACATAAGGTAGATGGAAAAGGTGGAGAGGATGTTGACAAAATCAACGCCAACTGTACCATAAAATTTGGCAGTGATGATCGTTGGCTTTGAATATACCATTTCAGCAAATCAGGTAGTCCTTTACACCTGCCTGGAATTCTTATTTAGGTGTAAAATCTTCTCATCTTTTTTTAATTATTGGTGATAGAGGTAACACTTTTAGATGCTAAACATACTACCTTGTCAAGTTCTTTCCTATGATGATCCCTAAACATCACCCTAAAAGCGATTGCCAATAATAGACAGATATTTTCTCCCCAACAAAGTCAACCAAAATTTGCTTTAAGGAACTTATGGGCAGAAGAAATGCAATATGTTGAATTCCGAATATCAGCATTATACTAGAATATTCTCTTTCTTTTTCTATAAACCAATAACAGCTGGTATGAATTAAGCATATTGCTAGAGTAATGTTATAAGCCTAATACGAAAGCTTTCAGTTTTATTATCCAAAAGTTTTTGTTTTGTTTTTTTCTCTTTTCTGACTTAATGCCAGAATTCCCGACTCTTAGACTCTTAAAGTTCAACTCAGATTCCACAGTCGTCCAGAAGTTTTGCATGGCCGCCACTAAATGAGTGGGAAGCATATGTTTACCTTCAATTAAAACTCCACATAAGAACCCCAGTTCTTGATTTTAAGGCATCTTGTCCTGCACTTTCTTCTCTGCTTAACTCACCTAGTTTGCTGCAGATGGATTAAAAGTTTAGTTGAAGCTGCAGACTTGGCCAGTGCAGGACTTCAGCATGGACTCCACAAATTGAATGGGTGAAAGATGTTTACCTTCATCCATAGTTGCACTAACCAATCGGTGCTCTTGAGGGAAGGCATCTCTGAAGCACCAGTGTTAGCATAATGCACCAAGTGCCTCAGCTTCAATATTCTGTTATTGAATAACTATGGTTTCCTATTTATTTGAAATTTATCATGTCAAAGACTTCCACATATAAAATGCGTTCAAATATGAATTAGGTCCTTTGCGCAGACAATGTTAGCCAAATATTCTGATGTATTGGTGCAAAATTGTTCCATGTCTATCCTTCTCATCTTGACTGGCGAAGATGTGAAATGCTCTTGGCTCTGTTATTGCTTCTAGGCGAATTCTCTTTGCATAATGATGATTCAGGCTTAAACAATATAGATATACTAATTCAACTCTGAGCAAAGCCCCCCCCCCCCCCCACACACACACACACACACACACAAGGGGAAAACTTGCAGGTGAGTGTAAGAACTTAGGTAGTGAATGCTCATATTATACCTCTATGATATACATACGTACATATCATTAAAAAAAAATCAGTAAACTTTTAGCATATTATACTTTAGTTTCTGAAATAATTTAAAATTTGTTTTAGAGAAGCAGTAAAGAAAATCCAAATTGGAACGAATTGCAAGTCGAGCCAAACTAATATTATATTCGAACTTGAATAGAACCAAACCAATGAGCTAAACTCAAACTTATACAAACCGAGTCAAGCTAAGCTCAGGAGTAGCTCAATTCATTTGAGAGCTCTACTTTGGCGGTCGGACTAGACAATTAGCTAGGGTTGGCAATTTTTGATATGACATGAATCTAATATGAAATTAATGGATTTGAATTGAAACTTTGCAGGTTCGGATCAGGATCAGGTCGAACTCGATGAACCAAAAAAAAAAAGGTCGAATTCAGGTCATCCATGGGTTGATCCGATAACACGTTTATGAATTAAAATTGGTTTAAATCCAAAGAAAAATTTAAATCTAATAATAATAGAGAAGTTGCAGATTTAAGAAACTAGATTCTAAATTTATAAAATTTCAAATTTCACAAAAAAAAAAGAAAAAAAATTCAAAAAGCTCTCGTAAGGAAAAAATTAAGAGAGAATAAAACTTTCAAATCAGTGGGTTGGATTGGACTCCGAACCATATGAAAGCGGAAATATCCAGTCGTGGCAGCAGATTATGAAACAATTTGTGTATTGGTTTCGTTTCTTCCGGAGTTAATTGACTCAAAACAGTGTTTACTTTAGCACAGAATTTGCTGACAAATGCAGTCATCAACCTACTAATTGCATCCCATATCATCAAAATTGTGGACATTTGCTTTCTAACTGATAACAATTCAATAGAATAGCTTACGGCCAATTTACTTCAGTCATGGTAATTTGCTAGCAACACCGTGCATTGATTGTCTCATGTCCTCTATGACGGATTTTGATTAATTTTCTAGAACATCATATGGCTCCGGTGCTTTACTGCTTTTTCCCCTAATGTAGTTTGGTGCTTTACTACGTAATCCTGATTTAATAAATTTGATATAACCATCTTATAATTTGAGTTAAAACTTAAAAGTGTTATAACGCTCTCACGGTTTAAACTAAAGTGTCGTTATTAGCTTTTCTACTAAAATTAACGGTTAATCTAAAAAAGTTAAAGTCAAAGTAATAAATTGACAAAGTTATGCTTTCACTACTTTTTTTTTGTTTTTGTTTTTCCTTTTCTTTCCCATTTTCTTTTTTCCTTTGGGAAGAGAATAGATGATTTAAAAAAAAAACTATACTTTGACTTACTAGATCTTAATAAATCATAATTTTTTCCAAATAAAAAATAGAAGAAATGGAAATAGAAAATAGATAAATAAGAATTAGAAAATAACAAATATTTAACGACTGCAAATATCATTATAGGTTTCAAAACAAAATTTTTAACGACTGCAAATCTTTAACGGCAATTTTTTATTTTGTATTTATCTATTTTTTATCTCAATTTTTCATTGTATTTGGGAAAATAAAAAAAAGTAGTGAAAGGGTGAATTTATTAATTTATTAGTTTGATTTTGACTTTTTAATATTGATAGTTGGTTTTAATGGAAAAACTAGTGATGACACTTTAACTTAATTCATGTATAGGTTATGTGCATATTTTTAAATCATACACGGTTATGTGGTAAAGCTTCAAACCATATGAAGGTAAAAAGATAATTTACAATTTTTTTTTTTTGGGTATGAATCTGCAAGCAGCTTAGTGTATTTTCTTGGTCAGTAACTTTGATTAGGAGGTGAGGTCCATGGGCAGAATTAATTGCTTATCAGAAAATACGCAAATAACCAGTTTTTATGGGTTTCTTCAAAAAAAAAAAAAAACAAAAATAACTGATATTCTTGCCTCCTATATTAACGTGCATACAAGTGTTCAAGGAGCATGATGTGTGTGCAAGTAATAAAAGATATTACTATTTGAAATATACTTTCTTGAAATCATTTTTATGAGATCTGATTTTATGTTTTGAATATAAACAGGTAAAAAAAATTCACCAAAATAAAATGTGTAATCACACTATATTTTATTAAAAATTACAATAAGAAAAATACTTTCTTGACATTTATGATGAGAGAGATAGAGGAAAATATAAGTAATAGGTAGTTTATGAGGGGTTTTTTAAAAGCGACAATTTTATTTATACCAAAAGGCTACTCTCTCTATTTACAGGTAAGCTAGGCTTCGGCCTAGTAGTAATACTTAAGCTGGGGCTCTTAAACAATCTAGTCAAAAGTTTTTTTTTTGCTAACGGCTGCCCAATGAATGTGAACGTGACAAACCCTAAGTTAAATTAGCATGTTTCTTCATATACGAGTTTTGTTTGGAGAACCATATACGCCCCAGAAGACTTGGAAGGACGACCACTATGGTACACGTTCACATACCAGAGGAAATTATTGTTGAGATACTCTCCAGACTACCGGTGAAATCGATATTGCAATTCAAGTTGGTTTGCAAGTTATGGAACTCTTTGCTATCCGATCCTCGATTCAGTTTGGCGACTAAAGGAAGAGAACACGCGATCTTCTGGTGTTGTGGCAAAAGATGTTTTAGTTCTTTAGACGATCAGTATGCAATCCAAGAGATTCCTAGGCAATGTTGGTATCGACCGTATTTAAATTTTCTGGGATCTTGTAATGGTTTGGTGCTCTTCAGTACTTATGAGACCTGGTACTGCTACTATAATCATTGTAACTTCTACCTTTTGAACCCATCAACAAGATCTTTCAGAGGTTTGATCAACTTTAGCAGTAGGATGTTGTTTGGTGAAAACCGTATAACTTATTCTCCAGTGGCCTATGGACTTTGCTTCGACAAGTTGTCAGATGATTACAAAGTAGTAATTTATTCATCAATTCCTTCTCAAAGGGCTTTGGTTGTCAGCTTGAAGAGGGGAACAACTTTGAGAGAAGTTAGTCTCCCCTACAAACTCAGGGGAACAGCGGTTTTAGCCAACGGTAATTTACATTGGATAGATAAAAATGATGACTTGATTGTTTGTTTTGATGAAACCACCAACAGATTTAGCAAATTACCCACGCCAGCGGTGGTACATGGTGGGAATGAGCCTATTTACAGGCTGGGAGTTTTGGACGGATGCCTTTGCATGTCTAGATATACCGCTGGAAGTTATACATTCAAGTGCGAGCTTTTTGTTATGCGAGAATATGGTGTGAAGGAATCTTGGGCTACTTTGTGCGCTATATCTGGTGGAGCGAATTTGAGAAGTGTGAGGGGGTGGGAGCCTCTCTTCTTCACCAAGCCCGGCGAGGAGTTATTGATCTCAGGCTCTCATAGCATATTGGCTTACAATGTAAAAACCAAGTCACTCAAGGAAATTCACACATATTCTGGCCAGGAATCCTATGTTGGTCCTCTAAGGTATGAGGAAAGTCTGATACCCGCTGGGAAATTTTGAGAGATGAAACGTGGTAAAATCTTCCAACCTTTGGTGGGTGTACGGCTCAAAATATGCCTTAGTTTTACCAGACTGTTTGTTATCTTTATTATGGTTATATCATATATGTTGGTCGATCTCCTTCGTTCTTTTTTTTTTTTTTTGGTTCATGTATTTTGGGGTATTGACTGAAGGCTTTCGTTGAACCAGTAAACAGTAAATCTTAGGCCTAGAAATTTGCTAGAGACTGGTCGTGCGTGAATTGTTCGATGTCCTGAAAAAAGGATTCTGAGTTAATCCCTCGCTAGACAGCTATCTATTATGGCATCAATAGCCCTTATGTAATGCTGGACA